TGGCTATTTAAGTGATGGACATTGTTGTGGAGATAACCTCTCTATACAAAAGTTTCACATCTCAATTGTTAGAATATAAAACTGAAATTCTCTATTTCAATCATAAAAATACGTACATATTTATAATGATATACAAATCGTCTAAATAACGCAAAAATCCTACGAATCTCTTAAATAAGATAACTACCATAAATATAATATATTGCTTATAAATATATTTTAACACCCCTCCTCAAACTCAAGATATGATCGAACAAACTTGAGTTTGTCAGAAGTGACTGAAAAAGATATAGCCGAGATCTTCCACGTACGAATTTGAATTTGCCAAGATTGAATGTCGTCCACTGGATCAGAGTTAAAAGCAGCACTCTCAACACCGTTAGAGTTGGAAACAGGACTCGCTCGCTCACAATGAAACTAGAGTCGAAAACAGGACTCGCTCACTCTATAGAGCTAGAGTCGGAAACACGATTCGCTCGCTCACAATAGAGCTAGATCGGAAACAGGACTCCCTCGCTCTCAAAAGAGTTAGAGTCGAAAACAGGACTCTCAACGGCGTTAGAGTCAAAAGTAGACTCTGTCAGTGGAGTAGTAAAGACGGAGACGACATGAAAATAACAGCATGATCGTGGATAGAAGCTAATACATCAATAAAATATAAAAATATATACGGGATATAACAAGTCATGGATATATCCAGAGAGAATTTTGCTTTGATACCATATTAGAATATAAAACTGAAATTCTCTATTTCAATCATAAAAATACGTACATATTTATAATGATATACAAATAGTCTAAATAAGGCAAGAATCCTACGAATCTCTTAAATAAAATAACTACCATAAATATAATATATTGCTTCTAAATATATTTTAACATCAATATTTTCCTTGTGAACAATCATGGCCCGAACTCGTTTTGGAATGAATCCTCGAGCTGAATCTGAAGGTGGCCAACGTGGTCGTGGTCGTGCTCGTGGCAGAGATCGTGGTGGAAGACGTGGATATATCAGTCCAGCCCCAGACTCCACAGAGTTTCCTGAACCAATTGCTAACGTTGCTCCCATGGATGAAGGAAATTTGAAGGAGGCAGAAGATGTTGTTGCTGCACAAGTGTTGCAGTCCCTGACGAAAACAGGAGGTACCAATCTTGACCCTAACAAATCTACTTTTGATGAAGATCTTGATGATATTATAGATAGAGTTGTGAGTCAACTTCCCCCACAAGATGAGAAGTCATTTTCTGATACATTGGGACCGGCTACGGTGCCTGAACCCCCTCAAGCTTTAGAACATGTAAAAGAGAGTGAAGAGGTTGTTGCTACACCAGAACAACAACGTGCTGAAGAACAAGCTGAGGAGGTAGAATCCACACCTTCCCCACCTAAAAGAAAACCTACCAAGAAGAGGAAGTCTTCAGCTGGTGCTCTAGTTCGTTCTGGGAGGAGGCTCAAAAGGACTATGTCGAATAAAGCCCCGAAGCCAAAGAAGTCAAAATCTCGCAAGAAGGATAAGAGATCTCGTCCCATAACTGCTGATCAAGCAATGGACCTCACTCACTTTGATGACTCAGCTGAAACCTTTGAGTATGGCGTCCTAGCCGACCATGGCTTTGTTGTTAAGAAGTAGTTCACGAGCAATGAGCATGTGGAGGTTGGCCTCTCTGACTATCTGCGCTGGAAAGGCCTATTTCATTGAACTGTGAAATTGCAAAGGTACTACCCAAAGCTTGTCAAAGAATTCTATGGTAACTTGTTTGTTAATGTTCTGGATGAAGGAACTCCATGGTTCCATAACGCATATGTCTGTAGGAATGTAGTTTTTGAACTGAGCCCTCAGATTATCAACAGGTTGTTGAAACTGCCACACGACAACTCTGAAGAGCTGTCCTCTGCCCTGCTGAAAGATTCCACCAAAGATGTGGCTTCATTTCTGTTTGTCCGTAAGTCTGCAGATTTTGGGAGGAAAGGTCTAGGTGTGACACAACTCACGATGAAGTTCTAGTGTCTCTTCCGATTATGTGCCATGAATGTTTTTCCGACAAGCAATGTCTCTAGCATCGGTACATAAATGGGTAAGCTAATGTTCTGTAATACCCCCAGAGTTGTGCCGGTACTAGGCCAACTCCCGTGGATGAGCCGATGTCAGGCCATCCGAGGTTGAATATAGGTTATAAATGGATTGAATAGACTACTCATGTCAACAATGTGCACAGTTATTTTCGGGAGCTCTACTAAAAGAAATCTAGAGTTAAGTATATTTGCTCTAGAGTAACTTGAGGATGGCTGGCCACCTGGGAAGTCTCTCAGGGTACGTGTGGGTGAAGACAAAAGCGCGCTGGAAGGACTCGGGTTAACCTGTGGGGCTAGTCTGCAATCCCGACACGTTCCGCTTTGCATTGCTTGCGGGTCAGGGTGCCACATGTACCCAATTGATAAATTTTATCCTAACATCAATTTCGGGTTTGTTGTGCTATCCAAGATGAGTGGGGATTGTCGGAGACGCACTACATGGGATATTTTATGAGTGGCCTAAGGGGTTCAATTCGGAGCTCACTTTGTCTGCTATGGCCTACTGATTTGAAAACCGCAACAGAGTTTGCAAAACAACAAACAAGGGAGCCAAACAGTTGGTAACTTTGGATACCGTTCGTGGGGTTTTTCCGACCATCAGGAAGCGGTCCAATTTCCGGAAATATGAGCAATATGAGTGGTAATGGCCCAAGGATTGGAAGCCAGACTGTGGGTATGAGCTCGGTGTCATCCGGACAGTCTACGGCACATTCCCGATTCACCCAATTTTCACCCAAGGTGTTGGAGGAACTACGTGCGAAAGGATTGTGTTTTTTTTGCTCAGGAAGACGAGGAGTTAGCTCTCCACTAGTACGAATATTATGAGATGACCGGTCTAGAGGGAGGCGAAGAGGAACAACCAGGAGAGTTGGGGGACTTGACAGTGTATTCGATGACTGGGGTGTTTAGTCCTCGCACGATGCGGTTACGAAGCATAGTTCGGGGCGCAGAGATAACCATATTAATCGACAATGGAGTGAACCACAACTTTATATGTTCTTCTTTGGTTGACATATTAGCTTTGTGTCCAGAATCAACCAGAAAATTTGGAGTCAAAATGGGAGATGGGTCGCCGGAAGGAATAAGAGGGGTGTGTCGGACTTTAGCCATCGGACTACCTGGGTGTGAGGCGGTGGCAGACTGCTACGTATTTCCCTTAGGGGGTGTGAAAGTTATCTTTGGGATTGCATGGCTCTCCACACTGGGAGAAATTGTTTATAATTGGGCGGAACTTTACATGAGCTTTAAGGGTAGGAACTACCGGTCGAGTGGAGCTAAGGAGGGACCCAGTGTTACGCCGGACTCTTGTGGAGGGGGATTTACCACCAAGTTTGGAACTACCTACAGAGCCGGTGTTTGAACCTGGAGAGGTTTTAGCGCATCGAATAGTTCAAGAGAGCAGGCCCCTGTTGAGCAATTGTTAGTTAAGTGGCATGGGCAATCATTAGATGAGGCTACTTTGGATATCCTGTCCTAACTTCCAGGGACATTTCACAAACTTCAACCTTGAGGACAAGGTTATTTCCAAGGAGGTGGAATTGATGTGGTGTAAACGGATTGGCCCTTGCAGATTTACCATCGACGGAAACGGTCATGAATCCACCTCCGTGGGTTATGGTTTATTTGAAATTCAAATTTCAAATTTTAATTTATTGCGTTTAATTATAAGTTATTGTCATTTATTTCTATTTTGAATTTTAATTGCTTAGAAGTGTATTTAAATACCTACTTTAGGACTATAGGGGATATAGATAAAATAAAGTATTAGTGAATTACCCTAAATTGTGGCAGTTACTAGTACGAGCTTGTGACAGGAAGAGTTTTCCTAAATAACCATGATAGAGGTATGGGTTGAAGATTAGAAAAACTATTCCTGAATTTGTATCCCCGGACGTTGGTTTGTTTATGACTGGACCAGGTTAACAAACTCTTATCTTATTTACTACTTTGTATTTCTGCATCGATACGGTTGATAGTAAGATGTTATACCTATGATATAACTATCCTTTGAAAGTTGGCCCTTATTTAGATATTCGAAAGAGTTTTGTGGAGCACCTATTGCCCCAACAATATCCATCTCAATAAATAAATATCTTAAACACCTCGAAAATATACTTTAATCCAATGGACAACGAAAAATAAAATTTTATTTGTAAATGGCTTAATGGAAAAATAAAAATAAATATTATAACAAAATATGTATTGACGTATTGTCCCATACTAATAATTATAAAACAACAGTTTCCCAACAATTAAGTTTAATATTAGTATTTTATATATACAAAAAAATAATTTACATAATAATAATAATAATGTATTCTCATTTACTTGTTCATACAAAATAACACATGTTTAAAAGTACTTAAATATATATAATACTAAAGCTTATTTACTTTTATTTCAAATACAAATAAAACTATTTCGTAAAAATACATTATTTTATCTCACAAAACAAACATTAAAGTACTATTTAGACAAAAAACTCAAATTAAAAATTCAATTTCAAATCAAAATCAAATAAACTGATAATTTGTTAAACTCAGTTATTTGTAAAACTTGTAAATCAAAATCAATATAGAAGTAAAGTTGTAAAAAGATAGATATATATATATATATTCCTACGTTACTTTCAGTTATTTGTAAGCACCTCCCTATTTAACTACAACAACTTAACTAACAAATAAGTGTAAACTGAGTCACAAGGGCATAACATTTTCTGTCACTACAGGTTTTCTACCTCATCTCCTCCAGCTTCCGGGGACACTTTCCTTGGTGGTTTTTTAGAAGAGAAAATTGCGTATTTTATAGGAACAACGATGATTACATAGTAAAAAAAACAAAAAGAGAAACAGAGCCTCAATTGTTTGGCAAAATTTTATCCACAAACAAAAGACGAAGTTGACCACATTTGCAAAGAGAAGTTTACCAGGACAGTAAGCATTGACATTGGCACCCAACTCGATCAAAGTTTGTGCAGCAGTATAAAGCCGAGGCGACATGCATGCTACCGCCAGTGGAGTCTTCCCTTCATTATCATTCCACTGCCGGCAGCAAAAAAGAAACCGCGATTTAATAAAAAAATATGTATTGGCATAGCTTCAACATTATATGATACAATAGCTTAGCTCCCACGATTGCTTGGCACATATCAACAAGAATTCATTCCTGAAAATGATTCATTGCCAAAGATACAGAGAAAAATACATAACTTTTCTGAAGCCTATGATTAGATATGTTAATAGTCACTCGAAAGGCTTACAGAGCAGTAAAAAAAATAAATTGATGAAGGATTCACACGAGACAAGAGTTTCTATAGAAAATTGTTGCGGAAATTAGGAAATCAAGAACTAATAATAAAGTACACAAAACAAAACGCGAAGATTTGTTGGGGGCGGCCAAGTAAGGTGTTTTCACTATTAATTTATCAAGTATAGGTCAAAATCCTAGTAAGTTACATACGGCCAAAGAAAATTTTTTCCGGGGTTTGCCCCCAGACCCTTTACGAAGAGGCCGCTGGAGCAGGTTGTGTAGTACCTCCCAACTTAGGGCTTGGATCAGCACATAAAAAATAACATCCAACTAAATATGAACATAACATCCCTGAGCAATGAACAGAGTATTAACATCAAACAACTACGTGTATTTCTTACAGCAACAGAACTTTGACGAGGAAAGCACAAACTCAAAATTGGGACACTTGCACAGCAATTCAACAGAAATGCACAACGAACCCAGACGCGATGCGATTAAAAATATAAATAAGTAAAATTGGGATGAGAAGCGAGGACGCGAGACTATGTTGTGTTGTACCTCAAGGCCAGCACCTTCGCTTCGAAGAGCTCTGATGCTTTCGATGTTTCCACAAGTGACTTGCTCATACAACACTTCTTCCTTGGATTGCTGCAGCCCCATTCGGTTTATAGATTGGTTGATATCTCCCTCAGCCCCAATTCGCGTAAGAAGAATGCGTACAAGTACGTGTATAGGTAATTGATGAAGGAGAAGAAGAAAGGAAGAATAGTTTGTGGGTGGGTGTGGGTGATGTCGAAATATCCAAATCGCTTGCGCGTGGGACCGAACGAAATTAATGAAATCCATCAATAGTACAGCAGCGCCTTCACTTCACTAATTAATTTTGTAATTAATGAATGGTGTTTGTTGGGAAGTTGAGCTAACTTTTCTTTTCTTTCTTCTGCGTATTATCATTGTTACAATACGACACCGTCTTTTTGTACATGCTACTCCTCACTCCTGTTTCAATTCCCTCTATGCTCTATATTTTATCTAATCCAATAAAGTAGCTTATAATAATATTTTATATTTAATTGATTCATTAAAATTAATTTTTATCTAATCAATTCATTTAAAATTCATTTAAATGACTATTATATTTTTAGAAAATTACCGTTAATAAGTATTTTTTTTATCTTCTTTTTTTTTTTCATTTGTAAAATCTGTTAGATCGTTATCTTTTATTATCTCTCTTATTTGTTGTCATCAAATATTTTCATTGTTATCTCTCGCTGTTGCGATCATCGAAGTTTTTTTCTAACCTTGTTGCTCAGTTTTGTGGTGGCTAAGTGTGGCAATTTTAGTCTACAAAGTGTTGTTTATGTGCTAAGTGCGGCTGTTTAAGGTTGTTGTAACATTTAAAGTGTTAGTTAGGGAGGTTTGTGCAATTTGTTTGTGAGGTGGGCAAGTTTTTTTTTTAAAAAAAAAAAACTATATAGCAGTGGCTGCGTCTGGGTGGGCTGCCTACGTACCCAAACGGGATCAAGTCATACGTAGTTCTAGATTGTGATGTGGGCAAGTTAACTGCTCCTAAGTTAGTTTTCTCAAGAAACTAACCTTGGATTAGTTAATATTCAATTCTTTTCTCTATTTTTGGTGCATATGGTTCTTTTGTTGAGATATTATAAACAATAAATCTGTGAATTTTATTTTTTTTGGACCAGCAGGTGTTTTTGTGAAAATTTGGTATGTTCTTGTGTTTCTACCTAAAACAGATTGTTTTTCCTCTTTTATAATCATGGCTGGTCAAGCATTTTTTAATATACAGCCTTTTGATGGAAAATCTGATTTTGCAATTTGGAAACAAAAGATGAGAAGTGTTCTTGTAACTCAAAGATTGATAAAAGTCGTTGAACCTGATCAAGCAACCGACCTTTCTCTTGAAAAAAGGTTTGAGCTGGATGAACTTGCGTCATCGTGCATTATTTTAAACCTAGCTGACCATGTAATTAGGAGAATAGGAACTTATGGTTCAGCTGAGGATTTGTGGGACAAATTGAACACTATGTATACTGAAACTTCCCTTCCAAATATGATACATCTTTTAGAGAAATTCTTTAGCTTCAAATTAGACCTTTCAAAGACAATAGATAAAAATCTAGATGTGTTTTCAAAGTTAATTCAAGATATAAAACTTACAGGGGATAAAAACATAGATGATTACAGCTCTATTTTCATGTTAAATGCAATCCCTAGTTCATATTCAGATGTAAAATCAGCTATAAAGTATGGTAGGGATGTGATTATTCTAGATGTTGTGGTAAATGGTCTAAAAAGTAAAGAAGTGGATTTGCAAGTAAGTAAAGCTAATAAACAGTCACATGGTGAAGAGATGCATGTTAGGGGTATATCTCCCTATAGACCGAATAAGAATGGCTCTTTTTCCAATAACTATAAGCAATGGAATAACTCCTACAATAGTCAACATAAGAAGAAGTCTAGAAGTAAGTCTAGGAATAGATCTCAAACCCCTTCAAAGTATGTCAAACGGTGTTTTAATTGTGGTGACACTTAACATTTCATTAGGAATTGTCCTAAGAAGAATAGAAACTTGAATAACAACAACATAACTTTAGAAATGGAACAGCCCCTATTAATACTTCTTCAAATGAACAAGTAAACTTGATTTCTCATAATGATTGCTTAGGTGAAGTGTTTGATGTTACTGCTGAATGTTCTAATGTGACTGTTTTTAATGAGAATGAATGGTTATTAGATTCAGCCTGCACTTATCACATGACCCCTTTTAAAGAATTTTTCAGTGATTATAAAACCCTTTTAAACTGTAATGTGACTATGGCTGATAATAGGGTTTGTAGTGTTAAAGGAATAGGGACTGTTACGCTGAAATTTAAATCTAGAAATGTTTTAAAGCTGTGCAATGTGAGACATGTCCCTAATCTGTCGAATAACTTGCTTTCTTGTGTTGGTTTGTCTTCTTTAAGACTAGAAGGAAAATGGGGAATGGTTTTATGAAAATAACTAAGGGTTCTTTAGTAGTTTTCAAGGCTGATTTGAGAAATAATCTCTATATTGTGACTGCTGTGCCTATTTGTGATTCTGATGCTTCTGTGAATGCTGTCCATGACAACACTGAGTTGTGGCATAGGAGATTAGGTCATTTAAGTAATAGAGGATTTGAGATTTTGCATAAAACTGGTTGTTTAGGTGCTGGAAATTTCTCAAATGTGCCATTTTGTGACAATTGCATATATGAAAAGCATCATAGAGTTACTTTTCTTTAAAAACCCACTGAAAGTAAGATTTTTTCGAAAGATATCCTTGAATATCTTCACTCAGATGTGTGGGGACCTTCTAGTGAACCCACACATGGTGGTAGAAGATATTTTTTTACTATAATTGATGATTTTTCAAGGAAAGTTTGGGTATTTTTAATGAAACAGAAGTCTGATGTGTTTGAAATTTTTAAAAATTGGAAAATTTCAATTGAAAATCAAACAGGTAAAAAGATTAAGTGTTTGAGAACTGACAATGGCTTAGAATATTGCAATACTTGGTTTGATAATTTTTGTATGGAAAGTGGGATAAAGCGACATAGAACAGCCCCTTATACACCTCAACAAAATGGGGTGGCTAAGCAGATGAACCGAACTCTATTAGAAAGAGTTCGAAGCTTGCTAGCTTCCTCGGGTTTATCCAAGAGCTTTTGGGGTGAGGCTGTAGTTACAGCAGCCTATTTGATTAATAGATCTCCTTCAGTGTCTTTAAAAGGTGAATGTCCCGATTTTAGATGGAGTGGAAAGAAAATTAATTTTTCAAACTGAAAAGTATTTGGTTGTTCTGCTTTTATACGTGTTTTCAATGATAAACTTGAACCTAGGGCTGAGAAATGTGTGTTCCTAGGGTATCCCGAAGGCGTTAAGGGATATAGGTTATGGTTAAACACTAAACCAGATTTTAAAACTTTTGTCAGTCGGGATGTAGCATTTAATGAGAATGAAATGCCTTGTTTGAAACAAAATCAAATTTAAATGATCAAAACACTGCTGTTAATGGTTCAAATGATACTCAAAATGAGGTGGAGCAAAATCATTATAATTTAGCCAAATTAGAGGCTGAATTACTTGATAATAATGCCTCAAATGGAACTGATACCAGAACAGCCAGTTCTAATCTAGTTTTTAATTCTGGAAATTCAGAGGCTGGTCCGGGAATCAGTTCTGATGATGTTAGTAAGGGAATTGAATTTGGAATTGCTGAAAATATTTATCAAAATCTGGAAAATTATCAACTTGCTAGAGATAGGGTTAGGCGAAATGTAAGGCAACCCCCTAGACTATATGATTTTGATGTTGATGTTATCTCATTAGCTTATAATGTGTTTGAATCATTAGATGGTAATGAACCAAGGTCATATAGTGAAGTTATGAAATCAAAACAAAGAAATGAGTGGATTAATGAATGAAGAAATGAAGTCATTAAAGGATAATAAAACCTGGATTTTGGTGTCAAAGTTAGCTAACAGTTCTGTTGTTGATTGTAAATGGCTTTACAAAGTAAAACAAGATGAAAATGGAGTTAGATTTAAAGCAAGATTAGTTGCTAAGGGGTTTACACAAAATGAGGAAATAGATTACAATGAAATTTTTGCTCATGTTGTTAAATATTCTACTATAAGGCTCATGCTTGCTTTAGTTGCCTATTTCAATTGGAAATTGAAACAATTAGGTGTAAAAACTGCATTTTTACATGGTGATTTGTATGAAAGAATTTACATGAAACATCCGGAAGGCTTTTTTGATAAAATTAATCCTAATCATGTGTGCCTTTTAAAGAAATCACTTTATGGACTAAAACAGTCCCCTAGGCAATGGAACATAAAATTTGATGAATGCATGAAATATTTGGAATTTAATAGAAGCAATTTTGATCATTGTTTGTATTTTAAAATAGCATGTGAGCATCTCATATTCTTGCTATTATATGTTGATGATATGTTGATTATGAGTCCGAGTTTGGAAACCATTAATCATGTGAAGGATTGTTTAAGCAAGAAATTTTATATGAAATACCTAGGAGATGCAAAAGTAATTCTTGGTATGAATATAATTAGGAATAGACAAGGTAACATGCTGTTTTTAAATCTGTCTTCATACATTAAGAAAATTTTGAATAGATTCTGCATGACTGATGCTAAACCCTCTGTTGTCCCCCTCGCTTCTAATTTCATTTTATCTAAAGATCAATGCCCAAAATTTGAAAATGATAGGAAATACATGTTGAATGTTCATTATACTAGTGTTGTAGGTTCTATTATGTACTTGATGGTGTGCACTAGGCCTGATTTAGCGTATTCTATTAGTTGTTTGAGTAGATACATGGCTAATCCGGGTGTGGAACATTGAAATGCTTTAAAGTGTGTGTTTAAATACTTGGTTGATACTATTGATGTTGGTTTAGTATTTGGTAAACACATTAGTGAATTAAAACTAAATGGCTATGTGGATTCCAATTATGCGAATGATAGAGATTCTAGGAAGTCAACTACGTCGTATATCTTTACTTCGTGTGGTTCTTGTGTTAGTTGGAAATCCCAACTACAACATATAGTTACTCTTTCTACGACAGAATCTGAATATGTGGCAATAACTGAAGCATTAAAGGAAGCTATGTGGTTAAAAGGTTTATTAAATGAAATAGGCTACTTGAAAAATGAAGTAACAGTTTTTTCAAATAGTCAATCCGGAATCCAGCTTTGTAAAAACCCAGTTTTTCATGATCGAACCAAACATATAGA